CCCTGTGTTCCTGAGAAGCATCTACGGTACCAGTCTATAGAGTGTGTTTTCTTTAGTGAATTCCCGGTATGTTTACCGGTAATAAACTTGCACTGTTTTATTTATATGTTTGATTACATACAGCCTTGTGACAGTTTTCCTGCATGTCATAAGCATTTGAATATAAATTAAAATGTTAACATCAAATCTGATATTGTTTTACCTTTTATTTGGTGTGTGGAAGGTGTGCGGAAGAGGGGTAGTCTTATACGGCGAGTATATAACAAACTCTGTATTTTGAGTGGAAATGTTAGGGGGTCGTCTTATACGCCCAGTCGTCTTATACGCCGGCAAATACGGTAATCAGCTGGCCTCCACACAGGATGACAATCCTGGATTATTTGGAGGCCCCACTGTAATCACAAGAGCCCTTATAAGGAGAAGAGGGAAACAGAAAGATCACACTGATGTCACATGGAAAGGATTCCACCCGCTGTTGATAGTTTTGAAGATAGAGAAAGGGGACTGTGAGTCAAGGAATGCAGGAGGGCTCTACAAGCTGATAAAAACAAGGAAACCGATTCTCCCCTATAGACTTCAAAAGGAATGCAGCCCTGCCTGCACCTTGATGTTAGCCCTATGAGAACTGAGACTTTTAACCTTCTGAACTCTAAGATCATAAATTTCAACCGTTTTAAGCCACTAAGTTTGTTACAGCCGCCCTGGAAAGACAGGCAGTATATATATATATCAGAAAACAGATGCAATAAATTACGTGCAGAAAATTGGAGTAGGGAATGCGGATGGCAAGTGTTAGAAGGGTGATTGTAATTTTAGACAGAGTTGAAAGGGGAGGCCCCTGGTGACTTTTGAACAAATAGCTGAAGGAGGTGAGCTTGTCAGTCACCAAGTATCTGAGGAAAGAGTGTTCCTGGCTGAAGGCACAGCAAGTATAAGGCCCTGCAGTGGGAGCTTACCTGGCATTTCGAGAAACCACAGAGGGCAGCGTGGATGTCCTGGAATTGTGACAAGGAAGGTGGTAAGTAACAAGGTCAGTGATAAAGGGATGCCTGTTTGTGTTGGTTTTACTCCGAGTAAGACAGGAAGCACCAAGGGGATTTTGAGTAGCAGAGTGACATAATGTAGCATAGATTTTAACGGAATTACACTGGCTGTTGTACTGAAAATAGACCATATGGGAGAGGGGAGAAGCGGGGGACTAGGTAGGAAGCTATAGGTATCTGTGGCTTAGACCGGGGTGGCGGCACCTTTGAAGGTAAAACCAACAAGACTTGCTGACAGATGACAGGTGGAATAGAAAGGGAGAAAAGTTACACATGATTCTGTAATTTGGGCCCTTACGGGACTGGAAGGTGGAGTGGCCATTCACTGAGGGGAAAAGACAGCAGATGGAACTAGTTGGAGGTGGAGGATCAGTTCAGTTTGGGTGAACTTTGGTACCTGAACTCCCCTCCCCTCCCCTACCCTTCAGCTCGCTTTTCTACAGAAGCAAGGAAGCATACACGTGAGGATTAGCAGCCAGAAATAAGCAGTATCTTGTTCAGTTCATGATGGAGTCAATGCAAGGTTCTGATAAGAGCTGGATTGGAGATTCAGATGTAACCCAGGATGTGTAGATGGAATGTTTGTGTCCTCACAAAATTCATATGTTGAATCCTTACCCGAAGGTGGTCATATTTGGAGGTGGGACCTTTGGAAAGGTCATAAGGACATAGCTCTTATGAATGGGATTAGTGCCGGTATAAATGTGGCCCGAGAAAGCTTCCCGGCCCCCTTCTATGTGAGGATATAGCAACACCGAATTCGTGTATCTTCACTGAATCTGCAGTGCCTTGATCTTGGACTTCTCAGCCTCCAGAACCGTGAGAAATAAATTTCCCTTGTTTAAAAGTCACCCAGTCTAGGGTGTTTTGTTATAGCAGCCTGAACAGACTAAGACAGAGGAGGACCAAGAAGGGCTTGGATTTTAAATGCTGGCCTGTCCTCCTCCAGCCACCAGGTAACAGGCTGAGCAGCTGTACAGAGTGGGTAAGAGCCAGGGCACCATTCATCACACTGACCCCACTCCCTGGTGAAAATTCCCCAGGAAATACTGAAGTTCCTCCCCATCACAGCGTCACCATTCCTCCCCAGGGAAGGAATGAGGGTGTGGAAATGAGATAAAGGTTTCCTTTGCCCTCCAAGCAAGGTGAAAGAGAGACAGTTCCATTCGTGCTTGTGGTTAGACCCAGATGCCCTCTTCCCCCTGCGAGCCCTGCTCACCTACACCCTGGAGGGTGACCCTCTCTCCAATGGTAGAAGTTGGATCTCAATGTTCTGCCTTAGGTTTTGAGGCAAGAAACTTTGTTTTTTCCTCTCTTCGGGGCAGGACTGAAAAGATCACGTAATGAGAATTCTTGGGCAAGCAACAGCCTCTTCCCAATCAGGGACAACTGAGTGACAGAGCAGGGCCGTTACAGGGAACCTGCAATGATTAAGAGATGCTGCTTCTAATTGTTCTGGATGATGAAGTTCACTGATTGCTGTGAGGCTAAAAGATCCAAAGGAGCTCTAAGAGCTGCGACTGGGACTTGAGGCGGTTTGGAAAGGAGATGGCATTACTCGGTGATGAGCAGAGACATTGCTTGGTGGCTGGGCTTTTGTTTCTGTTTCGTCCCCCTCACCTCCCATGTTGGAGTTTTATCCTCAGAATCTCCAATATCTTTCAATTGCCCAAATGACACAGAATTCCATGGGGTCATTTAATCCAGGGTTAATATCATGAAATGATGCCTATACATTAAATATTTCTCACAACACTAGAAAGAACTTGGTATTGCAAAACATGTGTGTGGTTTTAGAGGTTCTCATTCATGGTAGCGGAAACCACTTTGGGAGCGGGGGGAGGGATGCTTTCTATACATAATCCTAATTTCTGTTTAACATATTTTCATAACTCTTTAAATTGTGTAGCAAGAATTGTAAACTGTAATACTTAGTCATTTGGTGAACTGTAATACTGAGTCATAACGCTCAATCGTCGTACATTAAGATGCAAACGTATGGGGATAGAGAGATGGGGAGGATGCATTCTTTTCTTCAGGAAGCTTACATTGAACGACTCCTACTATGAACGAGGAATACTTTTTATGCTTAGTTTATAAACACCCTGCAGGTAGACAGTGCTCTCCCCAATATACAGAGGGGAATATTGATGAAGATCACTCACATAGAAAGTGGCAGGTGGGGGGGTGGGCCTTCAAAGTCCATGTTCATTCATTACTCCCAGCCTGTTCAAATAAATCCGGCATAATCTCAAAGTATTTCCCCGTGATGAATGCTCCCCTCTGGGAGGCCATCAAGTCAGATAAAGGATTCCCCTCTCCAGGTCCCTTGGTGCCTTGGATGGGGCCTTGTGGGCCCAGAACGCATCCTTTCTGGTCTGATACCTCCCTCGCCGCCCTGGCCAGAGGGTCAATGCCTTTCCTCAAGGCTGTGAGCCGGGGTAGACTGTCCACTCCCCACCTCTTT